CTGAACCACAAAACTATTGGACAAGGCCTCTGGTGCACTTTGATGCTTATTTCTATCATCAGAGCAGCTGTCAAGCTCGTTCTCTTGGTTCAGGTTTACCTCTCTTTCTCTGATTGGCAGAAGATCTGATGTGGGCTGGTAATCTTGGTTTTCCAGAGGAATGGAGTTAACGACCATATCCATGACAGCACATGCTTGGTCTTCTTGAAAATGAGCGCTTGACAGCGCAGCACTGGTGCTTTCAGGTACCTCTTTCCCAACAGCCTTTTGGCTGAAAGGTGGCGAGCAGGGAAGAGAGCAGTCCTTCCCATGTGGTTTCTGGGGACCATCCATCTCCAAGGCAGAGCCCACCAGAGCATCAGTGTGTAACAGAGCGTAGGGTCTTGCCGTTCCTTCTCTTTCAGATGGTTCGTAGTTACCCAAAATGCCATCAGGGAGGTGATGGTGACCATCCTCCACCACCTCCATCGGCGCAGCCACATATTGATGCAGCGAGGGAGGAAATGTGGGTGTCCTTTTCCATGTCCCTTGTTCTACTGGGCTCACGGTGGGGTGATGGACGTGATGGCTGTCGGCCTCAGGAGGACATCTCTTCATGATAAATGAATTCGATGTGTTAAGCAAGGATGCGCCGTATTTCTTCTCCTCTGAGAGCTGAGTGCTGAAGCTGGGGACCTCTTCCCCCTCGGTCCCACCACTTTGCATGGATTTGGGGTGAGAAAATTTGGCCAGTGAGGGCAGGCTGGCTGGAGGTTCACCTGCATAGTGACAACCATTGAGGGACTTCTTGCCATTTCCTTCTCTGGGAGCCTTTGCATTGACTGTGCTGTCTTTAGTCTCCAGCACCAAGCGGTCATCCTGGTGGAGATCTTTCTCAGAGGGACCAGGGGGGCTGGTGGGACTCGCAGACCCCTGCCCCACCTCATTTCTTTCCTCTGCTGCTGCACTGCCCAGTGCTTCATTCTCGAGCAAACCATGGCTTAAATGGGATTGCTCGTGGTTTTTAAATGTCAAGGTCGCTTTGGTTTTGCCTTGCTCCTGCTCTTCCACGAGCTGATCAGCTTTCTTTCCGTGCCCTAGCAGTGGGGTCACCGCTGTGTTTTTCAGTGGCGAGAGGTCATTACGCTCTCGGGAAACACCATCTGCACGGATATTAATGTCACTCAGCTCTGTATCTTCATTTGCTAAGTGCTGCAGCTCCATTACATTATTTTGCAGCTCTGGCTTCACGAATGTGGATTGTTTTGCATGGTAAGAGCCCATCACACTGAATGACTCCAGCTGCTCGCATGCACCAGAGAAAACCACCACCTCTTTTGCTGGAGCAGCAATATTTTCCACGTTGCCTCCAATGGGGACGTTCCCCTCCCCTTGGGCAGGGCAATATGTCAGATTTTCCCCTTCTGAGGCACCACCGCTCTCCTCTTTCTGCTCCGGCTCGATGTGGGTGGTGGCAGAGGGGTGGCTGGGAGCGAGCAGCATGGGAAAGCACGGCATCAGCAGCTCCTCTTCATTGCTCTTCACTGTTCGGGCAACGAAGAGCTGAAGCTGCTGCAGAGGGTTGGCAGCTGTCTCCTGGGATGCCAATACCTTCTGAGAGCTGTGGTCACTCAACATATCAAACAGCATCACTTTCTGCTTGTTGGCCTTGTCACCAGGTCCAGGGGCTGGATAGGTGGTGGGGCTCTTCCTCTCCTCCATTTCTTTCATCAGCACAGACCCACCACCATCCCCTTTGCAGTCCACAGTGCTTTTTGCTGTTTTGGGTGACTCAGGCTTGCTTAAGGGTCTTTCTTCTGTATCTGGGATCTCTTTGAGGTGAGGTGAAAAGGCGAGATCCAAGGCTGGGGTGGGACATTGCTGAAATCCAAATTCAGGTTTAGGGTGTGGAAGATGGGCATCGAACTTCTCCATCTCTGCAGCATCGGCGAAGCTTTCATCTGCTTTCCCCGGCTCAGGGAAGCTCTCGGCATCGCTCTGGCATGGCAGGGATGGCTGGGGATCATTGGTGGCTTCTGCTGCCTCCAGGGTGCTGGGGAACACGTTGACAACAGGGGGACTTTTTGTCATGGGGTCTGTTTGGTCTGGCGTGCGTGGGCCAGGCAGACATTTAGAGGAAGACCCATTTTCCATCTTTCCGAGGTCACTTTCCTGGGCAGCCATTGCTCCCCGCAGCTGCTCACTGCTGTCTTTGGAGCAGAAATGGTCCATGGTGAGAGGGGTTGATGTGCACACTCCTGCCTCCAGTGGGTTCAGCTCCACTGAGCAGGGCCAGGTCTCCTGGGATCTCTTGTAGTCCCCATGGGTGCTCGGGACAGCTGATTTCTCATCCCCCAGCCTCTCCCTGACACACAGGCTTGAACTGCCCAGCTCATCAGCCAAAAACAGCCCCTTCTCATGGCCCATCTCTTGCTCAACCGGCAGCGGTGGAAATGACTCGGCCGCTGGTCCCCGCAGATGGGCAGCGCCGTGTTGCTCGGGTTTCTGCAGGGCGACGGATGCTTCGTTATCCATCTTGCTGGTTTGCAGTTGACTTTCCAACTCGGTGACCAACCGCTTGATCTCCAGCTCGTCGTCTGAGATGTTGTTGATGAAAGTCACGTTATAATCTGTTATCCTGTCCGGCAGAGGCAGGGAGAGTTGGCTGCTGGGGACAGGGCCTTCCTTGGGGAATTTCTTGGCCAGTGGCTTCTCCACCGAAAGGCTGTGGAACTGAGCCATGTCTTCTGGCAGCATTGGAGCCACCTCCTCCATGAGGGACCAGTCTTTCTCCGGCATGAATGCTGGATACGGTTGCTCAAATGGCAGCGGCTTGCTAGGGGCATTGCCAGGGCAGTTGAACGTCGTCATGTAACCATCTTTGCTTGCAGAAACGCTCTCATACAGTGGTGGATCGAACTCGGCGACAGGAAGCTCTCCAAATATTGAAGAGGAATCAAAGCTGAGAGGGGAGGAGACCTTGCCCTGTGGTGTTTCTGTGGCATAAGGGGAGATGCTGGCGTGCTTCTGCTCGAAGGAGCTGGTGTTGATATCATCACGGCATAAGTACATGTCATCCATGTGCGAGGAGCCCAAGGCAGGGGGCTTTGAGAAGAGGTTGTCATCGTAGTGACCGGGAAGGCCTTTGGGATCAAAAAATGCATTGTCACTGCTGACATATGGATCGGGAGTCTTGGCAGTGAGCATCATTCTCACAGCATCCCCTCCGTATGGGGTGACTGCCGTGGGGAAGTCCTTCCGCCCATCACAGAGCCCATGTGCCTTCAAGTATTTGATCCCTGCTTCCGAGTAGGCAGCATTGACATTGCCAGGACTTGCCTCGTTACTGCCATGGGATGGGGCAATTAGCTCTTCTGCGTGGTACTTCAGTGTGTCACCCGCAAAAGGGGCAAACTGATGCCTCTCGTTGACCGTGGTCAGCACGGGCGAGTCCTGAACCTCCAGGGTGGGTTCTTCTGCCTCCCCCATGGGCTTTGCTGCTCCTTTGGGCTCTTCTTCCCCCTCCTTACAGGAGACCTCAATGGGGCTCCTGTCTGAGGCCACCATGCTGGGGAGCTGCCTTTCCTGGGGCTGCGGGGATGGCTCCTCTTTTGCATGGTCCAGCACAGCAACATCTGGGTCTGTACTCGGCTGTGTCCTGGAGCCTGCTACCAAAGGTTTGGCTGAGCCAAACCGCCTGCTTCCCTTGGGAAAGTCCTCTTTTTGGCTCTTCCTTGGGCTGCTGTCCTCGGGAAGGCTGAGCGGAGCCTGGGCTGGGCTGCCTGAGTGCCTCCTCCTCTGTGTGCCTCCCTTCTCACCACTCGAACCGGCCCCATCAGTGTGGGGTGGGCTGGTGCCTGTCTCACTGGGCATACCACTGTGGTTGCTGCCGGTAGAGGACTGGCTGCTCCGTCTCCGGGCTCTGGTGGCACAATCCGTTTTCCTGGCATCCTCCTGGCTCTGGACCCCGCCATGCTCCTGTGCCTCCCTTTTCTGACTGTCCTTTTTACGGCTGTAGCTCCAGGCTGGGTCTTTCTCTTTGGCTCTCTCACTTCTTCCTGGGCGTTTCTTGCTGAAGCTGTACTTGGTCCTCCCAACAAATCCCGTGCCGCGCTTCTTCCTCCCCTGGAGCTTGCTGCACTCTGCCCCATCATCATCTGAGTCAGAGATGTAGTCGTACTCCCGAAACCTGCCCTCCTTGGTGGCCGGCATCAGCCTCTCGGTGACCTGGGGGGACTCTGCCTCCTTGCTGCTCTTCACCTGCAGTTTGTGGAGCTTGTTTTTCTGCTGCACGATCTTGTGAATCAGCTCCTTGCTCCACGTCCCACTTCGGGGTTTTCGCTTCTTCACGTCCTTCATGGAGAACCGGGGTGGCTTGGAGCTCTTGGTGGCAACGCTCAGCCCCACTTCGCTCTTCACCGGAGGCTCCTGGCTGAGCTTCCTGGTGTGTTTTTGGCTGGAGGTGGATTTGGAGGAGGTGGTGGCCAGTGAGATGCTGTTCTTCCTGCCTGCCCTCAGCCTGGATGTCCTCTCTGCCCCAGGATCTGGCTCCTGGGCTGCCAACCTCCGCGCCGCCCTCCCCTTGTGAAGGTGCTGCTTTCCTGCCCCTCTCTTCTCCTGCTCCCTGTTTGGGTGTCCATCCTCATAGAAAAATCCAGCCTTGGGCTGTCCCGCTGTCTTCTCCTCTGCCGCTGCCTGTTTGGATTTGCTCTCTGAGGTCAAGGCTTCCTTTGCCTTTTGGGACATCCCACCACCGGCTGCCTTCACGCCCGTCAGCTCCTCATCGGCAAAGACGTCTATGAAGCTGCTGTCGATCTCTGGGTTATCCGACTGGTACCCTAGGCCGTTGAGGGCTTCAGTGATCAGGCTGTCCAGTTTGGCATCATCGATGTCCAGGTCAGAGGCAGTGAGTGGCAGGGAGCCGGCGGCAAGGCCGTTGAAGAGTCCACCCTTCAGAGCATCTTCCTTGCCCTCACTTTTGCTTTCTCCATCCAGCAAGAAGTCATCGCTCTTGTTTAATGCCAGCAAATGTGCTTGAGGGTCCGGAGAGAGTCCTAGGCTGGTGGGTTTGGAGGGTTCGGTGGGGAGCGCTTTCCGCCCCTCAGCTGCCCGGGGAGCATCCTTGCCCTCTCCCTGTGGAGCGGGATGGGAGGCACAGAACTGGCGGTGCTGCAGGAAGGAGGAGAGGTTGCTGTAGTTCTGGTCACACTGTTTGCAGGTCAGGAGCACATCCAGCTGGTCCAGGCTGGCACTGCTAAGCGAGCTGGCCAGCAAGTGATGGGAAGAGTACGGCGGTGGGGGCTGCTCCCCATCCATCCCATCTGAGCATCCTTTGGCCACCTCCACGCTGGGCTTGTGGAAGGGGCTCGCTGGGGCACATTTCAGGAGGTTGTCGTCTTTCAGGGCGTCAGGAGGGAAGTGGAAGGACTTGATGGAATCCTGGGGGTGGTAATGAAGCGAGCCAGAGCTCAGGACATTGGAGGGGTGGAAGGTTTTGTTGCCGTCCTTGGGATGGCAGGGGTGCTGGAAGAAGGGCGAGGGGGTCAGCGCTCCGGACATCTGGCTGTCTTCAAAATTGGGGTTGAGCGGGCTGCTGGACATGGGGGAAAGTGATGAGCAGGTACTGCCACAGGTGGGGTTGGGGACGGGGGACGGCAGCGGGGACTCGCAAGGGGAGGCAGCCACCAAGGCCGATGGTGGCAGGACCAGCGCTGAGCCTGAAGAGCTCCTGGAGGGAGGAGGGCCTGCTTGACCCATGCTGTAGAAGAGGGCTTTGCTTCTTGATTCGCAGGCAGGAGACCCCGGCTCCTTCCCATTTTCAAAAGAGAAAGCACCCGTCGAGTTGGGGTCTCCCCTCTGGACCCCAAGGCTCTCTCCTGACAAGATTTTTTTGCCATGATACCCTGGAGAGTTACTTACGGGGGGCCCTTTTTGGGCTTTCCCGCTCGCTTGCCACTCCGACGTGCCCAAGGGGAAGGGGAGCTTCTGGGTGGTGATCTGTCTTGACAGCTCAAGCCTGTTTTGACCAGGCATTGCAGAATTGAGGTGGATTTGCTGCCAAGGCATCCTGGCATTTTTCTGCCTGTGCTGCCTCTGCTCGGGGCCAGACTGGCACTCGAATGAGAACTGGTTTCCAACAGGGTTTGGATAAGGTGCTGAATTCTGGTCCATGGGAGAAAATGCCTTAGCGGCACCGTCCCAAGCTTGCACAAGCCTGGGGTGGGTGGGTGCCGTAGTGGGAATGCTCGTCTCGAAAGGCACGGATCCGGCGCTGCCGCTGCCTGCGGGGGAACTGCAATAGGCTTTGCTCTGAAAGTGCACTTGGGAGAGAGAGTTTGGTGGCACGTTCCTTCTCAGAGGGCTGCTCTGGACCAGGAGCCGTGGGCCAGGGCCACTGTCTTTTGCTGAGGCTTGCCTCTTACCAACCGGCTTTGGCAGACTTGGTGAGTGTAAACTAGACGGAGGAAAAACAGCTTGGTTTTCTTGGAAAGTGCTTGGGTTTTGGTCGATAGCACCAGATGACAAGAGAGCACCATTGGGGTCAGCGGGATGCTCGCTCCTGCCCTTGCAGCACAGCAGCGGGCCGTGGTGCGGGGCCGGCGGTGGTGGTGGGTGCAGGAACGATGGCAGTGGTGGTGGTGGCGGGGCCAAGCCGTACCCTCGGGGGACACGCTCTCATAGGTGCCACCGCTCAATGCCTCCTCTTGCCACTCTCTGGAGGATGAGTGGAAGGTGAAGGTGCCATGGGCCAGTTGGCTGGTGGCGAGCCCCACGTCCAGGTAGTCCTGGCTCCCCACATCGCTCCGGTAGGGCTCCTTCCCCGAATCGTGCAGCAGCTGGAAGGGGTATTGGCATGGCAAAGCCCCCACACGCTCTCATAGGTGCCACCGCTCAATGCCTCCTCTTGCCACTCTCTGGAGGATGAGTGGAAGGTGAAGGTGCCATGGGCCAGTTGGCTGGTGGCGAGCCCCACGTCCAGGTAGTCCTGGCTCCCCACATCGCTCCGGTAGGGCTCCTTCCCCGAATCGTGCAGCAGCTGGAAGGGGTATTGGCATGGCAAAGCCCCCAGAGTGTGGGCGCTGGTTTTGCCGCCCTCGGGGAAAGAGCCAGGTTTCTGCACCGAGATGCCGTAGCTGGCACCGGCAAAGCTCTTCTCCG